GTCTGCGTCTGTTGTTTCTGATGCTTTCTCTCCACAACTGTTTTTGATAGAAACACAAAAGATGCAGTTAAATCAGTACCAGCAGAGAGTATTTAAGCATACAGAGAGTTTTTATTTCTAGGCAAAAAGTTTCTGACATTAACATATTAAATAATATTAAAGAAAAAGTGATACTATTGTAGTACAAATGAGGAGGAATAGATAGACATTTACGCAGCAGTGTGGGAAATCACACCAAGAACGACAACAGGGAAAAGAGATAGCCTTGAAAACCTTGTCCTCATCAACATCATGAAGCTGAAATCACATATGAAAGGTATATGGTCATGCACTGCATCTAATGAGTAAAGGGTGAGTAAATGGTCTTGGTCTTGGTCCTTTTCCGTCATGGTTTTTCGACTCTCTCTAATTATATCTCTAGACTGATCAAGCTTCTCCACGAACATTGCTAATCTCTCTCTCTGATCAGCAGAACCTGTAAAGAAAGGACGAACTTAAGTTACTGTCATCTACTTCCCTTTGGTGAATCTAGTAAAAAGAAATTTGAGAAGAAGTTCAGTAATATGTTTGTAACCTGACGACACCGATACACCTCGCTATAGTTTCTCGGAGAATTTTCACCATGAAATATAACACCATTAGTTATCAAGTTTGAATCCCGATCAGCTTGCTGGTACAGAGAACAATCAAACTCAGCTGGCTGTGATATATGAGAGAACAATGACAATCAGATGGTATTTGCAGTGTTTAGAATTGTACTTGCTTTTAGAACATGGTTTTCCACAAGATTTGGCAGAAACTTCCCCGCTATGTATTTCACGCTTCACCTTGTTGTCCTCGTCTATATCACTCATATAGCATATGCTATCCATGTAAACCACAAATCAACAGGTGATTTATAGAAAACGTACAATAGAAACAGAAAAGAGAAAACAATTCACCTTTTTTGGAGAGTGTCATTCTCCCAAAAGATAACTGCAGTTATCATTCTGTAAAATCAACTGGATATATTTATAGTCGGAGGACATGACGGTTAATGGGGGATTCGATGAGTCTGATTGAAGGATGCAGAGTGAAGGATGTGTTGATGAGACAGAAGGTGGGAGCAAAGTAGAAAACAATGACCCATTACGAAGAATGAATCGTAAAAGCCATCGACGGCAGCACCATTCACGGCGCAAGACTGAGACAACGATGAACCCTAATTCTAGTTTCTGGACTAAGGAAAAACAAAGCCCATATTGAATATAAAAGAGAAAAAAGCGAGCCCAAACGAAAGCAGCATAACCCAGTATCAAAACACAGTAGTTTCATCAGGTGCCAGGTGTCATTATTTGCCCCCAAGTAGTGAGAAAAGACAACTTTATTATTATAGATATATAGATATTTACTAGTGGTTCAAGATTTTATTTTGAATTTAATATCTATAATAAAATAACGAAAATCTAATTTTTTTTTAATTCTTCTCAGTATATCAGTTCAATGTTCACTGACACGTCTTTAAAAATCATATTTCAAAAACATTTCAAGTGAAAAAGTTACAAAATTCAAAAAGGGATCAATCAAAATCTGAAACATATATAAATCTCTATCATTTATCTTTATTTATATATGTATTTTTTTTTAAAAAATGCATACATAAAAATATCAATATTTTTAAGAGAATGTGTAGATTAGTTAATTGGTTTATTCTGAAATGGCAAACTTGACGATGATTTCAAGAGAAGGATCTTTAATATCTCGATTGGGTTCCATCCACCTAAAAAAATCATCATCATCTGCTTCATTTTTTTATTTTCTTCTCCTTATTTTTTGTTTTATTTGTTTAGATTTCTCATTGTATCTGTAATCAGAATTTTGTTATGTGTGGGAGATAAAAAAATGGATGGTAACCACAATAAGAGATCACTAAAACCCTGAAAGAATTTAAACTTTAATTATCACTAGATCATTTCTCCGCGCTACATGCGGATTATATATTTTTAATATTTAATTTCTTGCACATATTTTGTATTATTATGTTCATTGAATTGTTTGAGTTTATATCTAATTTAATAAACCATATGTACTTTTATAAATTTTATTATTGAAAAAATTCATGAAAATACATCAACTAAATATCATTAAGGTTTTTAATACCTAAACTTTTTTTATTATCCAATTTCATACCTAAATTGATTATTTATTCATTTTAATACACTTAATTTAAAAACTGTACTAATTTAATACCGAAATTATTTATAAGTTCGAATGAAAATTTAAAAAATCTTCAAAACTGAACAGAATAAATCTTAAAATTTCTATTTTTATTTTAATTTAGAGGAATAAAATATCTAAACTGTGGATAATATTTAAAACTACAGTATTAGTTGTAGTTTACATTTCAATTTTAGTTTTATTTCTGAAGCTTAAAATTAATTAATTTATTTAATAAAATAATTTCTAATTTTTATTATTTTATCCACAAATTAGTTACTTTATTCCTAAACTTGAAATTAAATTTGAAAATTTTCAGATTTATTTTTATTTCAAAGTTTTTTTTTTTAATTTTTGTTTGGAATTTTTAAAATGAGAATAGGTTGGGTAGTAAAATGGGCACATCTATTAGAATGAGCAAAATAATTAGTTGAAATACTAAACTGATATCAAAAAAGTTTGGGTATTAAAAATCATGAGAAAATTTTGTTAAAATATTTTTATAAGATTTTATCTTTATTATTTGGAATATGTTTTCTTTTTAATCTTTTGCCACTTATTTTATGTTATTTTCAAATAGGATTAAGATTTAAACTCTAGAAATGACCATAACTAACACACCAAAGGATGAGAAACACATGTTGTTCTTCTTTTTTACCATGTACTCTGCATATTTAGTATTTGGTGTACTATTAAGTTTATTTATTAAATAGTTATTGAATTATACATTTTCAAATTAGAATTTTTTTTATAATTTTGTTTTCCAAATTTTATTTATTTCAATTTTTTTATTTTTTATTTTTTTAAAAAAAATTTCATTTTCAAATTCAATTGTTTTAAAAAAATTATTTGTAATATTTTTTTATAAACATAAGTAACCGGACACTTGTGGTCTGGTGGAAAAGAACTCACATCTGTTACATAGATTCGAATCCGGGCCACGTCGATTAAAATGGGGTGAAGCCCTTGAAGCTACCTACCATAGGAATCTTAGTTTCTTGGTTGTGTTCTATATCGGAACACTGTTTTACAATCATAAAGTCATCGAATCAGACAATATAGCGAAAGATTTGGTGGGAGTCCTAATTGCTGCGTTTAAAAACGAAAGCTCATTGTCTTAGTTACCTTATGGAGCTTTATGAATTTGAGTCATATTATTTTAAAAGTACTGGTAAACATCAAGTTCATCACACTCACATATTCAAGTCAGTGTTGCATATCATCTCATCAATGAATTTAATTATATTACAAATTTTGACTTTTTTTTGGCCAAGTACAAATGATTACTTTCTCTTTTAAAAATTTGGATAAAACTAAAAAATAAAAATGTAAATCAACTTGTAACTCTTAAATAATTTTAAAAAATATTTTTCATGAAAAAAATCTAAAGAAAAACATACAGGGATGCTCTCAAGATATTATGCCGTTTTTCTCAGCTCCAAATTTTTCATCGTGTAACGTCTGTTTTTCAAACTTCATTTTAATTCTCAGTAAAATCCGACCAACAACCCCTCCATTTTACTGAAAGAAACAAACTGGAACAGTATGCACATTNTTTTAAAAAATATTTTTCATGAAAAAAATCTAAAGAAAAACATACAGGGATGCTCTCAAGATATTATGCCGTTTTTCTCAGCTCCAAATTTTTCATCGTGTAACGTCTGTTTTTCAAACTTCATTTTAATTCTCAGTAAAATCCGACCAACAACCCCTCCATTTTACTGAAAGAAACAAACTGGAACAGTATGCACATTTTTTAATTTGTATACTCAGGTAAGCGAGAGATTAACAGTAGCTTTCAGAAAATGAAAATCAATGACCTCAGACAAAATAGCAACGGTTAAGTAAAAGAGGTAGTAAATAAAAATGATACTCAAAATAGGATATTTGGTTGTTCAAACTTACATCCACCTTTATCGATTTATAATTGTATATATAATGATTATGCACAGTCTTTCTAAATTTTACTTGATACATGAGAATTTGACGAAAAAAATTGTTAATAACAAATTCTTTCATTATCTTTATTCTTTGCCACTTTATCAAATCCGATAATTTTGAAACTTTCTGTATATACTTTCATTTTAGTTAACGTTCTTCATTTGATTTTATAAATGTTTAAACCGAGATACAATATGGTCTTTGACTAATGGTGATGAAATTTTACTTGACATTGATCAGATTCAATATATTTTAACATTTACAATGAATTAGAATTGGTATAGATGTTAAACATTGTAAGATTCAGTAGAATATCATATTCAAAACGAAATTAAATATTAAATAAATAATCAATTGTCAAATGAAATATAATATATTAACTGTGATATAATACCAATGCCATCTAGATAAGAAACTGTAAGATGTTTTATCTTTGTGACACTAAAAAAAATATCGGCATTAGTAGCACACCAAAAATATTGATAGATCCCCTGTCTGTCATAGCGTTTTCTTATGAGCTATGATAAATAGATATATTATAGCATTAATAATCCACTATAGAATAATTTTTATACCATTTGATCCGTGTTATGATATATTTTTGCATGATTTATTTCTAGTGCTGTAAAATATATATTATAATTGGTTATTATTGATTTAATCAAAAATATAATTATTAATTAAAAATAAAATCAAATTAATTTATATTTAAAAATTAAATAAAAAAAACTAATTAAACACACGTTAAACCTAAAGGTTGCCTTCCTCAAGCCATGTGTGCCTACATTGTCTTCCACGTCATCAGCCATAAAGGTCATGTTCTCTTTGCTGTACTACCACCACTGGAACTGCCACCAAACCACCTAGCACCACCGCTGCGTAGACCACGCCTTTCCTACTCCAACTTTAAACTTCTGCTGCACCATCCACTTTTCTTACACTGTACAAAAACTAAAACTAAAATCTAATATACAAATACAAAAAAACACAACCTTACTTGTGAATAATATATCCCATCTTTGTGCTCTGGATTTGCCATTTACGAAATCTTCCAAGATCCGACCTGGTTCCTTCAACTCGCAGGAGGATGGAGAAGAAAGATTATGATATTTGAGGTTGGTCGATTCAGGTGTGATTCCAAACTGTTCCAGTAGATGTTTTACAGTCTCTTCCTTGCTCTTGTAATCTCGCTCCATGATTCTGCCATGAACCTGAAACAAAGCGGAGAAAAATAAAAAGTGATTAAGAGACTATAATTAACGTCTAATTAAATGAAATGATTGAATCCTTACGTAATATGAGAACTCCTCCACGCTCTTAAAACCTCAAGGGACCAAGGCACATTCTTGAGGTTCTTGTGATGTTACAGCAACCTCATCATCTCTCCATATGCTACAGCGACGTTTTTGTTGTTTCTTTCTTTTATCCCTGAACAAATGGGCTAAACATACAAACAATAAAAACCAAAGCAAAACAAATAAAAGCCCATTCTGTTTTTGAATATTTATGCTGACGTGGCACTCTCTCCATTGAGAGTATTGTACTTTTAATATAGTACTGAGGTTCTGTTGTTTGATCAAAAAAATATAGTACTGAGGTTCTTGTGATGTTACAGCAACCTCATCATCTCTCCATATGCTACAGCGACGTTTTTGTTGTTTCTTTCTTTTATCCCAGAACAAATGGGCTAAACAAACAAACAATAAAAAACAAAGCAAAACAAATAAAAGCCCATTCTGTATTTGAATATTTATGCTGACGTGGCACTCTCTTCATTGAGAGTATTGTACTTTTAATATAGTACTGATACTGATATGTAAGTTACAGCCAATTTTAGTAGTGATATGTTTTAATATTATTTATTGTTATGAGATTTTTGGACTAATAATTGTATCTAGTTTTAGTTTCTTAAATACTTTTTTGTAAGATTTTGTTTGTTTAAAAGAGATGTCATTCATTCTAATATTTTTTAGATGCAAATTTAATTTTAGTACAAATATCTATTCTATTTTAATATAAAAATATAAATACAAAAATACAGCAAAAAAATAAATCTCACAGTCCAGAATATACAAACATCTATCATAAATTTATATTTAAAAAACTCTTCTTAACCAAGAAATAAAGTTATATGTTGTAAATTTATTCTCAATACATCAGTTCAATGTTCTTTTGTGTATATAGTTTGAATAAAGTTTTATCATATACCAAGAATTTTTTTTTTGAACAAATACCAAGAAATTAAGTAATTATAAATTTACTATTTTAAATTACTAATGATTATATATTTTTATTTTCATTAATGTATGTAATTATGTTGATACTCAGTTATATGTTGTAAATTTACTAGTGGCTCACGTTTTATTCAAATTTAATATATATATATATATATATATATATATATATATATATATATATATATTTATGTATATATATAAAATAATAAAAAAATAGTGACCTACATATTATATTCTCTCTCTCTCTCGCTCTCTCTCTTTCTCTTTCTCTCTCTCAAATAGAAAAATCATTAGTTTCAAAGTTAAATAGATTGGGCCAACAATATTTTGATTTCCAAGAAAAAGTATTCCAATCATATACCCGAAAGAACATTGAACTGATATATTGAGTAAAAAAAAAAATTTACTATTTTATTATATTAAGTTTGAAATAAAATCTTGAACGATTAGTATATTTACAACATATAGCTGAGTATCAAAATGTATTTGAAAGTTGATTAAACAAGAACACAACTTCCTTTCTTTTTGTTTCTACAACATAATATACATACATTAAAGCAAAGAAGACTATTTAATCATTAGTATGCTAAAATAGTAAATTTATAATTACTTATTTTCTTGGTTATATGATAAAAACAATTTGTTCCGTAGAAAATATTAATTTCAAAATATTGTTATTTCTATATGGATGATAAAAGAAATCATTGCATGTTAAGATGTGTTTTTCAAATATATATTTATTATAGAAATTTGTAACTGTGAGATTTTTGTTTTTGTATTTTTTCATTTTTATATTTATATTAAACTAGAATAGATATTGTACCAAAATTAAATTTGCATCTTAAAAAATATTAGAATGAATGACCTCTTTTTAAACAAGCAAATTCTTACAAAAAAAAATAAGTAAAATTTTAAAACTAGATACAAATATTAATCTAAAATGTCATTACAATAAACTATAATAATATATATCACTATCAAAATTGACTGTAACATATATTACAATATTGAAACTTAGATATTTTCCATATGAGCCACATGTCAAACATAAAATGGTTTGGATGTGACAATTATGTTTAAACGTAAGCCAATTTAAATTTTTATATTAATATTATAAATACGGTTAAATTTGAGTATCTTTTTAAAAATTTAGATTCTTTTAGGATTTTGAGTGATCTCTTATTGTGGTAACTATCCATTTTTATCTCTCACACGTCACAGACTCTTCCCTCGAAGTCATCGTCAAGTTTTCCCTTTCGGAATACAACAAACATAAAAACTCAAGTATCAATTTTCAGACAATAGATTCTGGTGATAAACAAATTGTAGGAGGCATGAACTACTGATTAGTGTTGAATGTAAATGATGGATGCAACGAAGGCATTAAGATTTACGAGGTAGAAGTATTCAAACAAGCTTGGCTTGCTTATCGGAAACTCATTTACATGAAAGCAATTAATTAGTCAATGCATTCTTTATGATTGAAATTAAAAATAAATAAATAAATAAATGATAAAGCTTTATATATGTTTCAGATTTTCATTGGTCCCTTTTTGACTTTTTCAAGTTTTTACACTTGAAATGTTTTTGGAACATGATCTTTAGAGATGTGTCAATAAAAATAATTGATTTACTTACTGTCTCACTTAATTTAAATATCTTGAACGATTAGTATATTTACAACGTATAGCTGGTATCAAAATGTATTTGAAAGTTGATTAAACAAGAACACAAAATTCCTTTCTTTTTGTTTCTACAACATAATACTCTCATGTGGTGGATGCTAATACATTCAGGTTCCTTATCAGTCTGGCGGTAAAGGAAGGACTTGATTTACGCTTAATGGATGTAGTCACAACTTACTTATATGGCCCACTGGATACTGATATTTACATGAAAATTCCATAATGATTTAAACTGCCATGAGCAGCAAATGCTAATTCTTGAGAAATTATTGCATAAATTTAAATCGATCTCTTTATGGATTGAAACAATCAGGATGTAGGTTTAATCGCCTAAGTGAGTACTTGTTGAAAGAAGCCTTTAAAAACGATCATATTAGTCTATGCATCTTTATAAAGAGATCTGAGAAATGATATACTATAATTGCAGTGTATGCTGTTTATTTAAACATCATTGGAACTCCTGAAGAGATTTCACTTACCATGGAATACCTGAAGAAAAAAATTGAGATGACAGATCTCGGAAAAACAAAGTTTTGTTTGGGACTACAAATTGAGCACCTCAAAAACGGAATCTTAGTGCATCAAGAAACTTACACTGAAAAAGTGGCTAAACAGTTTTCTATGGATCAAGCCCATCCTTTGAGTAGTTCGATGGTTGTGAGATCACTCGATGTGAATAAAGATCCCTTCCGCTCTAACAGAAGAATGAAAAATTTCTTGATCCTGAAATACCATACTTAAGTGCAATAGGGACATTAATGTTACTTGCCAGTCATACAAGACTGGATATTTCATTTTCAGTGAATCTATTGGCAAGGTTTAGTTCATGCCCAACTTGTAGGCATTGGAATGGAATAAAACATATACTTCGTTACCTCTAAGGTACGAATGACATGGGTATATTCTTTCCTAACCCATCCACAAAAGATTTGATTGGTTATGTAGATGTTGGGTACATATCTGATCCCCACAATGCTAGATCACAGACAGGATATGTGTTTACTTGTAGTGGAACTTCTATCTTTTGGCATTCGATGAAGCAAACCATTGCAGCTACTTCTTACAACCACGCAGAGATTTTAGCCATTCATGAAGCTAGCTGTGAATGTGTATGGTTAAGATCTGGCATTCAACATATACGAGAAGATTGTGGTCTACCTACAGGAAAAGAAGGTGCAACAATCATGTATGAGGACAATGCTGCATGTATTGCACAACTCAAAGATGGATAAATCAAAGGAGAAAAGACAAAGCACATTCTACCGAAGTTCTTTTTCACCCATGATCTGCAGAAGAATGGTGATGTTTGTGTTGTACAAGTTCGTTTAAGTGACAATTTGTCTGACTTATTCACCAAGTTGCTACCAATTGCTACTTTCAAGAAGTTGGTTTATCTTCTCGGATTACGTCGTTTTAAGGATCTTGACGTATGTACACATTAGGGGAAGTTACTGCGCGTTGCATTTTTTTCCTTTAGCCATGGTTTTTCCTATTAGATTTTTCTGGTAAGGTTTTTAACAAGGCAGCATCTTACGCACATAATAGACATCAAGGGGACGTGTTATAATTATTGTGCTGTCGATTATAGAAAGTCTTGTTCACCAATATTTACTTATATTTTTTTTTCCAAACTAAACCCTCATCTTGTATCCCTATATAGGAGTTAATTATTCATGGAATAAGATACACCAATTCCTCTTTTCTCTTGTCTTCGCTTCTTTACTCAAAACAGTTTGGATTTTAACCTTCAAACTTATTTTTAAAGTTAATTGCTTCATTGTTTTCATATACTATACGTGTGATGTTAGTTTAGTTAGAAATCGTAGTTAGAAAGCTTGGTTCATATATCGGGTTTCTGAATTATGATTGGACATATTAGGGTTTAGATAGTAGCTGTTTATTGGATATTACAATTGACTGAAAAATATAATCATTATAATGTTTGTTTTTTATATTTATATTTTGGAAAAATATCTTTTTGTGGTTGAGATCTCCTTATTATTATTTGAGGAACATTTTTTGTGTTGTACAAGTTCGTTTAAGTGACAATTTGGCTGACTTATTCACCAAGTTGCTACCGATTGCTACTTTCAAGAAGTTGGTTTATCTTCTCGGATTACGTCGTTTTAAGGATCTTGACGTATGTACACATTAGGGGAAGTTACTGCGCGTTGCATTTTTTTCCTTTAGCCATGGTTTTTCCTATTAGATTTTTCTGGTAAGGTTTTTAACAAGGCAGCATCTTACGCACATAACAGACATCAAGGGGACGTGTTATAATTATTGTGCTGTCGATTATAGAAAGTCTTGTTCACCAAAATTTACTTATATTTTTTTTCCAAACTAAACCCTCATCTTGTATCCCTATATAGGAGTTAATTATTCATGGAATAAGATACACCAATTCCTCTTTTCTCTTGTCTTCGCTTCTTTACTCAAAACAGTTTGGATTTTAACCTTCAAACTTATTTTTAAAGTTAATTGCTTCATTGTTTTCATATACTATACGTGTGATGTTAGTTTAGTTAGAAATCGTAGTTAGAAAGCTTGGTTCATATATCGGGTTTCTGAATTATGATTGGACATATTAGGGTTTAGATAGTAGCTG